TTTCAACAATGTGGAACATCAGAATCTGTACATGCTGGACCTACACTGCAATTATGCCATCAAAATTTTACGACAGGTACCAAATCGCCAGTAAATTGTGAGCACAAATACAGTCTTTGAAAATGGCTCTTTATTATTAAAAAATTGAAAATTTTGTCAATAATAGTTGCTAATAGTTTTCATAAACAATTTTATTGATTTTATTAAAAAAAATACATCTTAAGATGTTATTATAATTTCTCGTAATATCTCCTATTTAAAGTTTAAATTATGAAATTCAACAGTTCTCAGAGTTCTAATGATTCCAGCCATTTTAAATATTTTTAAATACATATATTATAGTGACATCGCATATTTTAGAAAGTGCGATGTGACAAATTTATTATAAAATTTTAAAGGCCAGGGCTATTAATAAAATATGTAAAGAATTAATGGAACTCTTTGAGAATAATAGAATTTACAATTATTAATGCTTTTAATATTTCAGTGTGAATTTTACATACATATTCTGGTTTCAAAGGACTGCGTGCCGTTACTTTCGGATTCAATGCAGCATGAAACATTTGCTTGAAATAAAACAGTATTACCATGATATTAAAATTTTCATTCTACAGAACTACAATGTTTCATCATAGTTGTTTGATGAGTTCAAATTATAACAATATATAATATTGTCAATAAAAGAAAAACCATTAACATTCACGAACTAATGGTGCAGTATATGAGTTAAGGTATCTACTCATGGACGCGTCATGTGAGAAATAACTATAGATTAAGTATACCAAGGCACAAATAATTGGTCCATAGACGTCGATTGGATGTCTATAAACATCGAATCGAAATCTATAGAGCAATTATTTCTGCCTGAGTAGTGATGTCTAGCACTGGCGCGTTTGACGCGTTTACAGTTGAATGTATCCAACTGCAAAAGCGTTCATCGCCATTGTCACCAAATTTTTAGTTAAAAAAAATTTTGTTTAAAAGTTCATGCCTTAGTAAAAACCTGCGGACCAAAAATTGTAACTGTTTCCGACAAAGAAAGATTGTGATAAATTATGAAGCGTGACTCGCCCGTCAAATGACGCGCCCATGAGTAGG